ACTCCGCCAATAAGAACCGAGACATCACAGCCGAGGTCAAAAAATTATTGGAGGCAGGATTCATTGAACCTTGCCAATATCCAGAATGGTTGGCAAATGTGGTGATGGTTCAGAAGCCCAATGGTACCTGGAGGATGTGCGTTGACTTCACGGACCTAAATAAGGCTTGTCCAAAGGATTTCTATCCCTTGCCGAGAATCGATCAGCTAGTCGATTCGATAAGTGGCCATGCCTTGCTTAGCTTCATGGACGCATTCTCGGGGTATCATCAGATCTTTATGCACCCCGACGATCGAGACAAGACAGCATTCGTCACGAACGCTGGGGTGTACAATTACAAAATGATGCCCTTCGGATTGAAAAATGCGGGGGCAACCTATCAAAGGCTGGTGGATCAAGTTTTCGCCGATCAAAAGGGCCGAAACATGGAAGTCTATGTTGACGATTCGATCGTCAAAAGCAAAAAACTAGAGGACCATGTAAAGGACCTGGCTGAAACTTTCGCCACCTTGAGAAAGCATCAAATGAAGCTGAATCCGAAGAAGTGTGTCTTCGGCGTGAAGTCAGGGAAATTCCTGGGGTTCATGGTCAGCAAAAGGGGGATTGATGCCAATCCCTCTAAAGTCAAAGCGGCGCTCGACCTTCCTGAGCCGAAAACGAAGCGGGATGTTCAGCGGCTCACCGGAAGAATGGCAGCCCTCTCGAGGTTCATTTCCAGAGCTTCGGATAAGGGGTTACCTTTCTTCAAAGCCCTAAAACTCCCGAAAACAAAAGAGCTCGTTTGGGAGGAAGAGCAAAAAGACGCCTTTAAACAGCTTCGGGAGCATCTGGCTCAACTCCCAACGCTGGCTAGCCCAGCTGAAGGAGAAACTTTGTACCTATATGTGGCCGTTAGCCCAGCCACCATCAGCGCAGTATTGCTGAAGGAAGAGAGTAAGAGTCAGCAACCGATCTACTTCGTCAGTCATACGTTGACGGATGCCGAGACTCGCTATCCTCTACTCGAGAAAGTCGCTTTCGCGGTAGTAGTAGCTGCTCGGAAGCTGAGGCCCTATTTTGATTGCCATCAGATAGTGGTCTTAACTGATCAGCCGTTGGAAAAAGTTCTCGGCAAGGTTGAAAAATCTGGTAGGCTAGCCAAGTGGGCTTTTGAGCTCACCGAATTCAGCATCAGCTACCGTCCGAGGGCTGCCATTAAGGCTCAAGCCCTAGCGGATTTCCTGGCCGAATGCTCATACCAAGAAGCGCTAGACAGTGAAAAGAAAGTTTGGACCGTGTTTACGGATGGGTCTTCCACCGAAAACGGTTCGGGGGCAGGAGTAGTGATAACTTCTCCCGAAGGCAAATCCTTTGAGTATGCACTAAAGTTTTCTTTTAAGGCCTCGAACAATGAAGCAGAGTATGAGGCAGCAATCGCCGGCCTAAAATTGTGCATCTCCTTGGAAGCCGATCATGTCTGCTTAAAAACAGACTCTCAGCTAGTTGCATATCAGATCAGTGGTAGCTACGAGGCCAAAGAGCCCTCCATGATAGCTTATCTTGCCAAGATCAAATCAGTCATTGCAGAGCTGAAAACTTTTGAGGTTCAGCTGATCCCAAGGGGTCAGAATACTCAAGCCGATGCACTCTCCAAACTTGCTAGTTCATCTTTTACCGAGCTGAACAGATCTGTATATGTGGAAGTGCGTCGAGAGAGAAGTGTCGACGAAGCACCTGAAGTGTGCTGCGCTGACCCAGAGCCTAGTTGGATGGACCCCATCCTAGCTTTCAAGCTTCGGGGAGAAACTCCCGAAGATAAAGCTTCGGCCTCCAAGATGAAGAGAACCAGTTCTAGGTTCATTGTCTTCAGGGGGGAACTTCTGAAAAAGTCCTTCTCAGCCCCATTGCTGAAATGCGTGGGACCAACAGATGCAGATTATATCCTACGGGAGATTCACCTCGGCATCTGTGGGAACCACATTGGGGGAAGAACCTTAGCCCACAAGGCATTGAGGGATGGATATTACTGGCCCACCATGATCGCAGATGCTAAGGAGCTGGTTCGGAAATGCGAAAAATGTCAAAAATACGCTCCAGTTATCCATCATCCAGCAAGGGATCTTCAGCCGATCCTTAATCCACTCCCGTTTGCCCAATGGGGACTGGATATACTGGGACCATTTACAGAGGCTGTGTACCAGAAAAAATGGCTGATAGTTGGTGTCGACTACTTCAGTAAATGGATCGAGGCCGAAGCAGCCTCGAACATTACAGAGCAAACTGTCAGAAAATTTATCTGGCAGAATATCATCACTCGCTTTGGCATCCCGAGAGTATTTGTCTTCGATCATGGGAGGCAATTTGATAACTTACCGCTGAAGCGGTATACAGATCAGTTCGGCATCAGACTGGCATATTCAGCGGTATGCCACCCGCAAAGTAACGGACAAGCCGAGGCTGCAAATAAACAGATCTTAAATGCCCTCAAGAAGAGGGTGGAAGATCAAAAGTCCAAATGGCTAGAGGAGCTCCCTGGAACCCTTTGGTCCCTTCGGACAACTGAAAAAGAGGCAACGGGCCACTCACCTTTTGAACTGGTGTATGGTGCCGAAGCCGTCCTTCCAGTGGAAATTGGCTCTGAGAGCCTTCGAGTGCACCACTTCTCGGCTGAGAATGAGCGACTGATGAGGGAATCTCTTGATTTCCTCGACGAAGTAAGAGACTCAGCCCGAGATAGAATGGCCGCCTATAAGCAGAGAATCAGCAAATTTTATAACCGAAGGGTCCATGCAAGGCCTCTCAAAATTGGAGACCTTGTCCTTCGGAATGCTGCTGCAGTTCAGAAAGGCCGAATCCATGGGAAACTCTCAGCTGCATGGGAAGGACCTTATGAAATTTATGATGAGCTTCAGCCAGGGACATACCGCCTTCGGCAGTTGGATGGAACTGATAACTTGTTATTTGGCATGATTTTAGGGTACTTTTGAACCTTGTTTTCGTTATTAATCGACATCAAAGTTCATTTTTTATCCTATTTTTATGCAAATTTTGTACCATCCATGCTTCACCGGTTGTTTGTGTTTTTGATGTAATGTAGCTATTTTTAGCACTATGGACATGATCAAGCATGAGTGAGCAAGGATAAGGGCAAGCTTGGTTGATAGAGCCATGGAGGAAGAAGGAGGATGCCTTAAAGGGAAATGAAAAGCTTTTGGAGAACCTTGAAAGGTCGTTTGCGTAAGCGTCAACTTCAACCAACCATAACTTTTGATCTTATCAACCTTTTGAAACGATTCAAATTGGAGATTAAAGTTCGTCTCAAGAGCTTTCCAACGACTGGTCACAAGTCCATTTCCGACAAGAAACGTAGAAGTTACAGCTTCCCAAAGTTAAGCAGTCTAGGCAGGGCATCCTGCACGGACGTGCAAGATGATAGCACGTCCGTGCAAGTCTGCACGTCCGTGCCAAAAGCTGCACGTCCGTGCAGACCTTGGCAGAAGCTTCTGCCTCCATTCTGCCCCCTCTGCACGTCCGTGCCAAACTTGGCACGACCGTGCTTAGCCTTGCACGTCCGTGCCAAATCTGGCACGTCCGTGCAGACCTGCAGTCGAACTCCTTCCTTGTTTTCTCCGTCCTTTTTATTTGGGGGTCATATAAATACCCCTTTAGAGCTCATTTGTACGGGAGAGGCAGTTTTTCAGAGCTTTTCTCTTAGTTTGTAGTCTTAGAACATTAAATTCTCAAATCATTAGTTAGTTCTCAATTATTAGCTTGGAATTATTCAAATTCAATCATTGTAGAAGACAAAATCCACCATTGTTGCTCACCTTGAAGCTTCATAGTAACCATTTCTTACTCATCTTTTCTACTTCTCTTTACTTTGTTGTTAATTATTTGCTAGTTCTTGCATGTTTTGGATTGTTAATTAGCTTAATCCTTAGTTTGAATTTGTTCATGAATTGCTTGAAATCTTTAATTGCTTTAACCCCCATGGATTGTGAGTAGTCTAAATTATAGGGTTTGGGCAAAACCCTCAATGTAGTCACTAATTACTTGTTGCATGTGCTAATTTGGTTGTTGTGGGATGTTAATTAGTTGAGCTTAAGTGGTTTAATTGATTAGTTCTTGTATATGGCCATTGCTAGAACTATTTATCCAAGCTTTCTCAACGAAGGATCGAGAGATGAACTTGAGTTAGCTCCCTTATGCTTGATTGACCCGAAATGCCATGAGAATAGGGATTACCGGTCAAGGGAATGTTTATGTCATCGTGATTATGCTTTAACACTTGTTTTATGCTATGTAACCACGAGAGTAGGTCGTATTCATGATTCAAGTAATCCCTCTAGCTTGAGAGAGTAGTTGGGTGCTTTAGATGACTTCCCCTAATTTATCCCATTAATTTACCTTGATTGTTGCATGCTAATTGTGATTTGTGATGAAGTTGAGTGGTATAACCCAAGCCCTAGATTCCTCTTAATATTGTTAACCTCCTCTTAGCTTAGTTGAATTGTGTTAGAAGAAGTTACTAAAAACCAACCCAATTTAGAATTCGTTTAGCTTATTTAAACGGTAGTACTCGGTGGTTGATTCAACGCCTCTCTTGGGTTCGACCCTTTCTTACCCTTACTATTGTTAGTGAGACCAAGATAGGAATTATTATCTTTGGTAGGCTCGACGACGGCCTATCAAGTTTTGGCGCCGTTGCCGGGGAGGCAAAGTCACATTGAATGTATTATTGTTGAATGAGACTAGATGTGTGTATATGTATAGTAGTTTTCTTACCTTAATTTTTGTTTATGTGTGTTTAAATTGCGATAGTCATTGCTAACGTTTTTCTTAGCTTTGTTTGACTTTGCATGACACGAAAGAGTAAGCAATCACCGCTTATTCCCGTTGATCCAGAGCTAAATAGGACTTTGAGAAACGTGAGGAGACTCTTGCAAGGCACACCCGAGTTTTCCATTGTATATTCGGATTCCGATCCGGAAGAGGTTTTTGGAACTAACGAAGAAGATAACATGGGAGAGAATCCTCCTCAACCATTGTTAAGAGACTATGACCACCCCAACGCATTCCAACTTCGGAGTGGCATACGTCTTCCCACCACAAATGCAAACAACTTTGAACTTTCACCTCAACTCATCCGTATGATTCAAAGCGATCAATTCGGAGGTAGTCCTCATGAGTGTCCTTTTGCTCATTTGGACAACTTTCTTGAGTTGTGTACAACTATCAAGCAAAACAACATTTCGGAAGAGTTCATCCGTATGCACATGTTTCAATTCTCCCTCCGTGATAAAGCAAAACATTGGTTGAGAACGGTTGAAGAGGGATCATTGAGTACATGGGACGAAGTCACTAGAGCCTTTCTTGGAAAGTATTGTCCTCCGGAAAAGACCGCCGAACTAAGAAGAAAGATCACCAATTTCAATCAAGACATTGATGAAACATTGAGTGAAGCTTGGGAGCGTTTCAAAGATTACACAAGGAAATGCCCCCACCATGGTTTTACATCATGGATCATTGTACAAAGCTTCTATGACGGTCTTACTCCTATTTCAAGGGCCAACCTTGATTCCGGGGCCGGTGGTAGCCTCAAAAAGCTATCAGTGGACGATGCATACAAGATGATTGAAGAAGTGGCCAAGCATTATGCATATGGAGGTGATAGAAGGCAACCTCAAACAAAGAAGGGCGGAATTCATGATCTTAGTGCAATAGATCTTATTGCATCAAAGTTTGATATGCTAGCTCACAAGCTAGATCAAGCCACCCTCACACCCTTAAGCTCTTCCTCGCAAGTCATGTCTTGTGAGACTTGTGGAGGAAATGATCACTTGTCCTCTTATTGCAACTCAACGAATCAAGAGCAAGCGGCGGCAATTGGGCAAAGGAATGAACAATACTCCCAATCCCACAATCAAAGTTGGAAGCCCCAACATAACACGGGATGGAAGCAATACAACCAAGGCCCCCCACAAAATAACTACAACCAAAATCAAACCCAACCTCAAAACCACTACAACCAACCTCAATCACAAAACCAACAAGCTCCATACCGCCATCCCAACCAAAGGGATCAAAACCACCAAAGATCACAATATAACCAACCCGCTCCTCCTCCTCCACCTCCTCAAAAGACTAGCCTTGAGTCCGTTCTTGAAACTTTCATGACTCAACAAATAAGGAACAATGCGGAGATGAATGCAAACATCCAACAACTCCAAGCACATAATAAGATAATGGAGGGCCAATTGGCTCAAATTGCACAACAAGTTGGAAGTTCATCCTCCAATCCTAGTGGTCACTTTCCAAGCACAACGGTAATGAATCCAAAAGAGCAAGCGAAATCAATCACCTTGATTATGGAAGGGGGGTATGAAACTCCAATTATGAGAGAAAATTTTTCCAAAAAGGGAGATAGTTGGGTAGATGAAAGTGAGTTTGAAAATGAAGTGAGTGAGGAGGCGAGAGGAAGGTCAAAAATGAGTGATGAGGGTGCCTCAAAGAGAGATGAGGGAGAAGTGAAGAGTCAAGCTCCATTGAGAGCATATGAGCCTCATATTCCATTCCCTCATAGAATGATAGAGAAGATGCTAAATGAGAAACTTTCTAAGTTCCTTGATGAAATGGAAGGACTTCAATCAAACATTCCACTTCTCCATGCTTTGTCTCAAATGCCTACATACGCAAAGTTTTTGAAAAATATTCTTTCTAACAAGAGTAGGCTTGAGGAGAGTGATTCTATCTCTCTTCCAACGGAGATAAGTGCTATTCCTCAAAATGAGCTTCCCGAGAAGTTTGGTGACCCCGGTAGTTTTGCTATACCGGTTAAGGTTGGAGATCTTGAATCAACAAATGCTTTGTGTGATCTTGGGGCTAGTGTTAGCCTTATGCCTCTCTCTATGGCAAAAAGATTAAATCTTGGGGAGATTAGCCCCACCAAAATGTCAATCCAACTAGCCGACCGCTCGGTTAAAGTCCCATTGGGAGTCTTGAAGGACATCCCAATTCAAGTGGGGAAGGTTCTTGTGCCTTGTGATTTTGTAATCATGGAGATGGATGAGGATTTCAAAATTCCTATCATATTGGGTAGGCCCTTTTTGAAAACCGCGGGTGTTAATATTGACATGAAACAAGGGCGACTTACCTTACATGTTGGGCATGAAAGAATCTCTTTCTCATTTCCGGAAACGTTGAATGACCCCATGGGTAAACAAGTTCATCGGGTTGATGTTTTGGTTAAAATTTTGAAAGAAGACATGGAGGAGTCACAAGATGAATCGACTCATGCTCCGGAGGTGAAAAAGCAAGAGAGGGCCAAGAAGAAAAAGAAAAACAAGATCAAGTTGATAGACAAGATGTTTGGTTGCATTTCTAGTGATGATAGCAATGTGATTATTTTGCCTAAGGAAAATGGCAAGTGTGTGGGAACAATGAGATGGGTCAAAAAGGTGTGCCTTGACCCTCCCTAATTTTGGATAGCGCAATTTCGTCAAGCTAGTGACGTTAAAGAAGCGCTTCCGGGAGGCAACCCGAATATTTTTGTAGTGGATTAACTTAAAAAAAAATAAAAAAAAAAAAAACAAAAGAAGAAAAAAAAAAAAACAGCACAAAGTGCATGTCTTCCAACAACAACCAACAGGAACAAAGGTACCAAGGAGGTTCAAGCGTCGAAGAAGACCCGATCCTTGAGTTAGTCTTCTTTCTCCTTTTTTTTTTATGAGCTTTTATTGCTTAACATTGAGGACAATGTTTATGATAACTTGGGGGGAGTCATTTGCATGCCTTCTTGACATGTTGGTTTGTTTGGTTGCGTTTGTTTTGGTTGTTTCATTTCCCTAATATCCAAGACCCTTAATCCAATTTAGCTTCCTTGAAATCCAAATCTCTTGTCATGTGAATATTAGTGTTCCCTCTCTAGTTAGTAATGTGAATATTTTCGCTTTCTCTTCAAAAAAAAAAAATGATGAAAAAATTGAAAAATGAAAAAAAAAAATTTCCCAAGGTTGAGACTCAAATGACAATGCTTATATGTTTTTCTTGCTTGACTCTTGAGCGATGAGTACTAGTTTTCTTAGAAGGGTGTATGCAAGAGATGGGGTCATTTAGAGGTCTATTAATCTTGATTGCATTAGTGTATATGAAATGAAAGCCAATGAATGCTCAATTGCACACCCAGTATAGGATATTGTCTAATTCGCTCAAGTAGGATATGTTTGAATTGAATTGCGGTCCCTTGTGCCCTTAATGTGCCTCCCTTCCTCCCCGAAATGAAACTCTATTAGGGAATTGGTTATACTTGTATTATGTGTAATAAGTGGCATAATAAGCCACACGTTTCGAATAAAGAAAGAGCCGCTCACAGTTAAAAGAGGCGAGGGCAATAATGTAAAAAAAAATGAGAAAAAAAAAATAAAAAAAAATAAATAGAAAAGAAGGAGAACAAAAAAAAAAAACTCCCCCAAAAATTCTCAAAATTTTGATTTTCTTTTCTTTAGAGGTCAACTTGTGGATGCCTCCCACACATTTTCGAATTTGTTGCTTATTGTTTCTTGTGAAATTCCCGAGTTAGAGTGTAATTAAGGGGCCTTGGGTGTGCATTTTGGGAGGTGGACTAGCATTTTGAGATTTTATAACCGAAAGAGGGCTCATTACAACTTTGGAATATCTAGGTGTGCTCTAATGAACTAGTAAAAGGTCTAAAGAATTATCCTAGTGCAATCTTGCTTAGTCCTCCTCTTTACCCCAACTCATGTGCACATTTGTATGATTGGTAATTCTTGAAAGTCGCTCATTTGTCTTGCTTGCGATTTATATCTCGATGAGTTGACTTGGGTGATAATAACATCGGAACTTGTGTAGTTTGATAGTTTTGTTGTGGTTTGTGTGAGTTGTGGGTTAAGCTCAATGGAAACCCTCACGAGATAAAAACTCGTCCTCTAAGGAGACTTAGAGGTTTAAATTGCTTCTCACTTGTGCTAAAAGTGATGATGGCTGTCACCATGCGGATTTGTGTATTTATGCTTCCTCCTTGTTGCCTTTCCTTGGATTGATGTTAGCAAGTCGTTTTCCTCCTTTGATTCGACATGTTTGTTTTGCTCGAGGACGAGCAAAAGCTTAGCTTGGGGGGATTTGATAACTTGTTATTTGGCATGATTTTAGGGTACTTTTGAACCTTGTTTTCGTTATTAATCGACATCAAAGTTCATTTTTTATCCTATTTTTATGCAATTTTTGTACCATCCATGCTTCACCGGTTGTTTGTGTTTTTGATGTAATGTAGCTATTTTTAGCACTATGGACATGATCAAGCATGAGTGAGCCAGGATAAGGTCAAGCTTGGTTGATAGAGCCATGGAGGAAGAAGGAGGATGCCTTAAAGGGAAATGAAAAGCTTTTGGAGAACCTTGAAAGGTCGTTTGCGTAAGCGTCAACTTCAACCAACCATAACTTTTGATCTTATCAACCTTTTGAAACGATTCAAATTGGAGATTAAAGTTCGTCTCAAGAGCTTTCCAACGACTGGTCACAAGTCCATTTCCGACAAGAAACGTAGAAGTTACAGCTTCCCAAAGTTAAGCAGTCTAGGCAGGGCATCCTGCACGGACGTGCAAGATGATAGCACGTCCGTGCCAAAAGTTGCACGTCCGTGCAGACCTTGGCAGAAGCTTCTGCCTCCATTCTGCCCCCTCTGCACGTCCGTGCCAAACTTGGCACGACCGTGCTTAGCCTTGCACGTCCGTGCCAAATCTGGCACGTCCGTGCAGACCTGCAGTCGAACTCCTTCCTTGTTTTCTCCGTCCTTTTTATTTGGGGGTCATATAAATACCCCTTTAGAGCTCATTTGTACGGGAGAGGCAGTTTTTCAGAGCTTTTCTCTTAGTTTGTAGTCTTAGAACATTAAATTCTCAAATCATTAGTTAGTTCTCAATTATTAGCTTGGAATTATTCAAATTCAATCATTGTAGAAGACAAAATCCACCATTGTTGCTCACCTTGAAGCTTCATAGTAACCATTTCTTACTCATCTTTTCTACTTCTCTTTACTTTGTTGTTAATTATTTGCTAGTTCTTGCATGTTTTGGATTGTTAATTAGCTTAATCCTTAGTTTGAATTTGTTCATGAATTGCTTGAAATCTTTAATTGCTTTAACCCCCATGGATTGTGAGTAGTCTAAATTCTAGGGTTTGGGCAAAACCCTCAATGTAGTCACTAATTACTTGTTGCATGTGCTAATTTGGTTGTTGTGGGATGTTAATTAGTTGAGCTTAAGTGGTTTAATTGCTTAGTTCTTGTATATGGCCATTGCTAGAACTATTTATCCAAGCTTTCTCAACGAAGGATCGAGAGATGAACTTGAGTTAGCTCCCTTATGCTTGATTGACCCGAAATGCCATGAGAATAGGGATTACCGGTCAAGGGAATGTTTATGTCATCGTGATTATGCTTTAACACTTGTTTTATGCTATGTAACCACGAGAGTAGGTCGTATTCATGATTCAAGTAATCCCTCTAGCTTGAGAGAGTAGTTGGGTGCTTTAGATGACTTCCCCTAATTTATCCCATTAATTTACCTTGATTGTTGCATGCTAATTGTGATTTGTGATGAAGTTGAGTGGTATAACCCAAGCCCTAGATTCCTCTTAATATTGTTAACCTCCTCTTAGCTTAGTTGAATTGTGTTAGAAGAAGTTACTAAAAACCAACCCAATTTAGAATTCGTTTAGCTTATTTAAACGGTAGTACTCGGTGGTTGATTCAACGCCTCTCTTGGGTTCGACCCTTTCTTACCCTTACTATTGTTAGTGAGACCAAGATAGGAATTATTATCTTTGGTAGGCTCGACGACGGCCTATCAGGAACTGAGTTGAAAAATCACTGGAACGCTGATGTACTGAAAAAATACCATGTGTAAACCCTTCGGGGCAGAACAATCTTTGTAAGTACATTTTGAACTAATGAAAGGCCTTGGAGCCGCCATTTATATAAATGTCTACAACTTTTTATCCTTTCAAAATTTTCTGTGTTCTATCTACTCTTTAAGGGTTTTTTATTCAGCCTCGTCTGAAACCTTCGCCTTCGGGTAACTGGGTTTCAGATTGCTGACAAAACTCGTCTTTTTAAAGAACACTGGTCTTTCAGCTGAAGTCAAACTTCAGTAAGACTTGTTCTCCAAAGACATGAGTCCATGGACAATTCTGGGATATTGCCTTAACTGAGCCTTGTATCCCAGAGAGCCATTATCCGAAACATTGCCTTAAGTTGGCCCTGTGTTTCGGGTATCCATTTTTCAAAGATAGAAAGAAAATCAAGGATAACAGCAACAGTTGAAAATTTTTATACCAGCCTCGTCTGAAACCTTTGCCTTCGGGTAACTAGGTTTCAGATGGCTGACAAAACTCGTCTTTTTAAAGAACACTGGTCTTTCAGCTGAAGTAAAACTCAGTAAGACTTGTTCTCCAAAGACATGAGTCCATGGACAATTCTGGGATATTGCCTTAACTGAGCCTTGTATCCCAGAAAGCTAATATCCGAAGCATTGCCTTCGGTTGGCCCTGTGTTTCGGATATCCAACTTTCAGATGAAGTCAATCTTCGGTAAGACTTGTATCCTAGAGGCATTGCCTTCAGTTGGCCCTGTGCTTCGGATACCCATTTTGAAGAAGTGAAGAAATTGCTTATTCAGCTGAAGTCATACTTCAATTTCTGGGGGGGCAAGAAGCACTATCAGTGCAAGTATGTTCGGCAGAATTGAAGAAACAGAAACAGTAAAGCATTCAAAAATAAAGCAACTGAAGAAAAGAGCATCAGATTAATAATTCATGCTCAAAAATTGAGCTACAAGTTCAATTTAACAGTATCGGCAGCCGCCCACAAGCGGAAAATAACAGCTGCCGAAATACGTACATAAGCAAAAAAAATAAACTGTTGTACGACAAGGCAAGCTGAAGCAAAAAACAAGGCAAAAAATTCAGAAAGCGGCAAGTCTAGAGTTAAGCACATGATGAACCGCAAGATTCTGAAGACGACTGCCCGAGTTCCTATGCTTCAGCCTGAGGATCAGACTGATCAGTGTTGAGCCCCATGGTGGCCTCAGCCCCAGCAGCAGAAGAAGCGGGCTTTGCACTCTGCCGAGCCTCCCTTTCCCTCTGTTCAGCTTCCAACTCCATTCTTTCAGCTTCCTCTTCGGCTTCCTCAGCCTTAAGGATTTCAGCTTCGGCTGGAGTTGCATACTTCATATGAGGGTCTTCGGGATTCTGGACCCACTCAGCACATTTAGACCAGTCCAGCTTCGGTTCAGCATGAAGGCAGACTCTTCGGCATACTCGGAACCCGTTTCTGAAACCCATCTCATATTCCTCTTGGGTATAGACACGGACTTTGAGTAAAGCCTCAGCATCAGCCAGCTTCTTCTGGGTC